GTTAAGTGCTTTGAAAGTATCACTAGACTGAACTAAACGACTCCTAATGCTGAGTGACAGACGATTATTTTAGAGGATAGAGAATGCAACCATTTACTCCATCCGGACCTTGGTGTTAGGTCCAGGCTGCAGACTGAAGGCACAGCTGAAAGGACCTTCATCAAGTTGGGTCTTCTTTAATATGGGAATATATTTCATCACATATTTGTATTTTATTCAAATTCAATCAAATGTTCTAGTTTTTTAAACCAGAAGCTGTTTCGAATGCGCTGAGCATCAAAATAATATGTTCGCCATAAATTGCGTTTCTCCAGATTAGGACAGACATAAGGCTGCACAATCACTCCGATATTAATCGAGATCCCGATTTGAGCTTCCCACATATATTTGATCATGATCAATAGCGATTTTGATGATTAAATGCATTAAATGCATATTAAACTAACAGCCAGCCACCAAGGGGCGATAGAGATATTTTGGCTTCACTTTTGGGCAGCTGTCACGTACAGCTGCAGTCTGTATAAAACTTTCCAGAATGCTGCGGCTGCAGTCCAGAGTAGTGTAATATAATGTTACTCGTTTATTAAAAATGTATGAATGAATTTGTAGCTTTATTTTGATGCTAAGATTTGTCCATTAAATGTACACGAAAGTATAACGTTTGCACGCAAAGGTAAAAAAAAAGGTCAAGTATTTTCAGGATGAGGACACGGGTCAAATAAAACAAATTTAAAAGTACACCCCTTGTCTTCCTCCACATCAGCTACTCTGTCAGTCATCACAGCAGTAGCTGCCAGCGGTGAAGGGGATCCCACAGGAGAGAATGAAGGGGGTTAGGGTGGTGATGGTTGAACCAGCTGGGGTGACAGTGGGCTTAAAACAGCACCAACACAGAGGCCTTCCTAAATCTGCTTTCATCGAGCAATCTTTACTCAGTCTGAGACAGGCAAGTTTAATCCTGCAGCTTTACCTGCTGAGATTTTACCTCAGGCAACAGCGGAGATGAAGGCAATGAGGAAAGATAGTGCCCCACTTGCAAATAGAATGTGGAAGAGCCGAGTTCCTCTTCCTGTTTGTTAATTCTTACGGTTTACTGATACAGAATAACTTTAGAAAAGTTAAACCTTTGAATTTTGTTTTCAGGTCAAATGGTTGTAATACAAGACTACAATGGGAGACCGAAGCCTGTGATGGCTGTAAGTAAACAACAGATGAATAGAGGCTGCTCTGACTATTAGTGGAACATTGTGTGTATGTTGGGTCTACATGAGCTCTTAAAGCGGCTATAATAGTTAGTTTTTTAGAATATTAATGTATCAAATGAAAACCATGATAGATTACTGTTTATAATTTTGCTTCTCCAACACAGCTCGGCAACACAAAACGTAAAATAATTATGAATATATTGAGTAATGAATTTCGTTTTTAAAAAATCCGGCATATCTGGCATTGCTTAAAGTGCCAAACCCGCAATGTGGAGAAAAAAAAAGAGCCTGATTGACAGCAAGTCAAAATCAAGATCAGTTGAACAGTAAAAAAAAACAGACAGAAATAAAAGAATGTGCATCTGTCTCACACACACCAAGTAATTCTCAGGATTAAAACCTAATTACGCGGAGACGGATCTGAACAGGGCTAAATAAAGAATGAAACTGAGAGTGATATGTGCTGCTCAAAGTTAATGAGCAACTCACCCATGGGTCATGGACATTGGAAATATTATTTTTGTATGCAAGAAGCGGGCCTCAGTCAGATTCCACATGGTCGCATAATGGAGGGGGATTAACGAAGGATACCTCCTGTCATCTGTGGACAGCGTGATGAGCTGAGAGGGGACTGAAGGAGAGGGAGAGAGTGATGAAGAGAGGAGAAAGAAAGTGACAGAACTGGGCCAATTGTTTTGATGTGCTTCACTCTTTCTGGCTTTGTGCGTGTTTATGTAAACATGACTGCATGTCCGAACTCGGGCTTTTCAGGATAGGCACTTTATATTATAGCATATCGGACCTGGCTTAAAGGACACCTTGCAGCAACCATACTGCCTACATTTCAGTATAAATGAACATATTTGGGGATTTTTGCTTTATAGGGCTAAAATTAAAGACTATTTTCATTTTTTTTTTTTTTTTATACAGTTTTTTGGGATCCATCAAGTAATTGTGTACTTAATTAATCCTGTTCATCCATTCTTCACTTGATCGTTTATTTCACAGAAAACAGACAGTAGCTTGATCCTGATTGGTGCACAGAAGTATGTGACATCACCTTCTTCTCACCCAATGAGAAAAGCACAGAAATCCATTTTCGCGAAATAATGGAAACTGTTTAAATTTTTGTGGATTACATGAAAGGTAGTGGAGGAGAAGTATGGGGTAAAGTGGACATACTCATGTAAAGTAGAGTTGAGCAGAGTACCTCAAAACTGTACTACGGTACTTGAGTAAATGTACTTGGTTACTTTCCACCACTAGATTATAGACGTCTTCGTTAGGTAACACGTGAAACCGTTGTACCGTTTCAACATAAAGCACTTTCAAAGCGGATCTACTTTTAATACCCTCGGCTTCCATGTGAATTGATATGCATGCAGGGATTGTGACATGGATTGTTTCTTAGCAAAACATCTGCATTTACTCCCCCTCAGTGTGCGTCACTGCAGATGATGACAATTCATACATGGACACGTGACGGAATGGTTATTTGCTATTTTAAATTTTCTTACTTTCATTTTGAATTATGCAGATTGTTTCTCCTCCACTTCAACAGAGAGGGTTCAACAGTGACAGGAGGGCTGAGGCAGCCCGCACAGAAACTCCTGAATATGATTAGAGTTTAAGAATCTCGTTGAATATATATGAGCAAGACAAAAGAAAAACATTTATATGGTAATAAATTGGAAATAACTAATGGCAGTAACATAGACTCCTGACATAATGGGTTTTTGGTTGATAGTATGGGTGTGTTCATACAGGTGATATAGTTCAGGAAGACATGAAAAGTGGTTTTACTCTTAATGAGTCCACTTAGATTTTGGCAGGAAATTTCATTATAATGATGGAAACACTTGTTAACCTTGAGATCGTCTGTTGTCCCAAGAATCCCCACTTAGCTTTCTTTTGGTGTAACTTGGCATGTACTTGTGATTGGAGAAAGCGAAAAGGAGAACAACCTTTTGGCAATGCTTGTAAGTCCATTAGGAGATTGATTCTCGTACTGGAGAAAGAAGGCGAGTGCGAGCAGGAAGGAAATAATCATTGGAAAAGCAGAAAAAAACCCATCTGATTTGTTTGCTTGTCGATGCAAACTGCATCATCTCATCGGTGGTACCCCCTCCTCCGCCTCCCCCCGCTGTGCCCTCGTCCCCCCGTGGGGACCAGACATCCGCTGTCACCTGTCAATCCAGCCCTGACAGACAGTGACCTTGCTCGGTATTGTTTGAAACGATTTGAATCGACCTTGCATTTTCAAGTTGCTTTCCTATGCTGGTTTCACTGGCAATTGGCTTTTTCAAAGAGGTGCCACGACAAATAAAATTGGATTGATTAGCTCTCGGATAAGTTGATTTATTGGTGTTTGAGTCTGAGGGGGCTGGACCGGAGATGTTCACAGTGTTCTTTATGTCCAGTTGTTCAGATTCATGGCGGGCAATGACGATATTCTTGACAGTGGATGAGCTTTTCACATCATGGCCCTGATTTACCAAGCTAATGTATGTATCAGTGTACTCTTACACTGAAGGTGAACATGCATCCTGCTGAACAATTTATACACGATCACACCATTAACATCCACTTTACATTCCGCCAAAAGAATGCAGTGCCTGATATTAAACATCCTTCGATAATTCTCTTTTATAGAAATCTATGTAAATATTTGAAAAGACTCGCTGTAAGAACTGCATTACTCCAAACATACTATTTGTCTACAATCAGGTTGTTTTGCGGAATGAAAATGGCAAGCATAAAGCTTGTTTTTGTTGCAACTCAACAAGATGAGAAAATGCTTGACTGCGGGGCATTGTCATTTACCAGAACCCGCTATTTCCTGCAAAAGTATGTCAGCATGATTTGTGCTCTCTACTGATACTCGTGGAAGTTCCTAAATTATTAAAGAAATATTTTATGTCAGCCCTTGCATTTGTATCTAAATGCAAGTAGAACAAATGAGGAAGCTGCGTGAACACACTCTGCAAAAATATCCACATTTTGTTGTTTGTTATGGGTCTTTTGCAGGTGGGGGGGAGCTGAGGGAGAGCAAGGGTGATATGAGTTTGTGTGTGTGTGTGTGTGTGTTGGCGGGGTTAGCTGTCTAACTCAATCTGTCCGAGCTCATGTTTCTGTCAGGGTTAGCGTAAGCCAGCAGTCAGATATGTCAGACACTAAATGCCAGTTTCAGGGAACAAAGTCACTTCATTTTTTGCCTCCATTTCATGTGTAGGAGCTCAGGGGAGCCAATCACAGGCAGACCGTGGAGGTTACTGCTATATGAGCGGATGTCTGCGTTGAAGAATGAAGAAGAATACTGACTGGGGACAGATGATTATACAGCAGGGAAGATGCTACAACAAAGTATGCTGTGAATGCATGCGACACATGGTGATGCCGTTCCTCTCGTGAAGATAGAGAACCGTCACAATCTGCCCCTCAAGCACTCTTTCTTTCTCCCTCTCTCTGGCAGTGTCTCTCTATTTCAGAAGAGCAGTCAGAATGATTGAGTTTTTTTTTTTAAGGGGGTCGTTGCTGTAAAAATAACAAAATTGTAGCCTCTGCGAGCAATGATTTTTGTGAAGTGGCTGTTGCCCGTCTCTCACCCATTCCCTCTCCCAGTCAAGCTCATTCTCACACATCACAGCCTCTACCTCCCTCCCTCCCTTCCTCCCTCCTGTCTTCCTCGCTCTTTTTGTTCTCTCTCTCTCTCTCTCTCCCTCTCTCTCCCTCTCGCTCATGAATGTCACCTCTACTGATGGTGGCTGCTGGAATTCACGCACACATACTCTCACAACCACTCGCTGACTTTGGATGGGAGGAGGAGGGGGAGGAGGAGGGAGGGGGGGTTCAATGAGGACTGTGGAAAAGGAGCGTGCCATCAGAGGCAGAAGAGGGATCTCTGTCTGTCTGTGTCCATGTCTCTGCTCTGTTCCCGGCTTCATTCCTGCAAAGACCACCGATGTCCCGCCTGCTGTTCTACCTCTGGAATTAAGTCGGCTGGATTACCGCTCGGACTCTCAGCTCATTATTCCATGCTGCCACATTTAAATGGGAGGCAAAGTTGGACCTCCGTGGACTGCACAAATGGTGACAAACAGTTTGATTCCTCTCGCGCTTTTAAGAGCTTCCTAGCATTCAAAATGACTTCACTTTTCTTCAGTAAAAGCGTTTTTATATGTCAAATCATTTGAGCTCCTTCCCTTTCGTGTTGTCTCGTCAAAGTAGGTTAGTTATTTTACAATATTCATTTTTTTGAACTTGGCTATTGAAGTGTATTTCAATGTGCAAGATGAGTGGGGAAGAGGGGTAGTAACATGTCTCCGTTGTCACCTTTTTGAAAGTCCGGTCATTCTAACCTTGGTCTTTCTGTTATTTTTTCACACTGAAAATGTGACTGTGGCACTTTTTCGTGTGCTCTGTTAGGGTCATATTTTTCTTTTTGGTCAGGGTGGAGGCTTTACAATGGACTGCAGGTGAACTTGCCACTCATCCAGTTCTTCACTCTCCAAGGAAACCCTCAAACTAAACTCTTCCCTGTTAACCCACTTAAACGCCCCGATCTCCCCTGTGGGGGATTCTCTAAACCGTCTGTCCTACTCTAGTTTTTGGAGGAAAGCTAACGCCAAACCAGCAAGGGGGATACTGGGAACGAAGATACCCCCCTCCCAAAAGGTGAGAGGGGGGGAAGATGGCAGCTCTCGCCAGCTCTCTCATTAGACAGAAACGGGCGGTCAAGGAGGACCCAACCAAACGACCGGTAGTCAACAAGCGCAAGCCCTGTCCTAAGAGCAACAAGTCCTTGTGCCAGAAACAGATCCTGGTCCTGATCTCCAAAGTACGACTATGCGGGGGTCGAAAAGCTCGAAACGAGAAAAGACCAGGTGAGTCACTGCTATCGTTTTCATCCGTCTCTGCTTGTTCTTTCTCTCGGTCATATGTTGGCATAACACAATTTAACGTATCTAAAGTAAATTTGAAAAGGAGTCCCACAGGTTTATTAAGTCAATCAAAGACATATGAAACTGGAGATCAACATTGTATCGAAATACTTTTCCATTAGAAACAAGGAAACACCCAGTACTACAGCCAGTTTTTATACATAAACAATCATTTTACCATAGATTCACAGAAGTTATCAACTTAATATCTGTTGTCGTCATATATCATAGAACCTAAAAGTTTCACAATAGCAGTTATTTTTTGGGTAGCCACCTCCTGCTGCGTCACCTGTTTGATACACTGACCAATGGTAGCTGCTGCACTCAGCTCGGCAGAGTAAAAATAAAACAAGTCATTGAATAAATGCAAAACCCAGCTGAAATGACTTTCCATACATCGAATGGAGCTTTTGCTTTCCCAAACATATAATTATGCAGGGACTTGCAGGAACAATAATATGTGAAATTGGCTAAAACCATCCTTACAGTTTAGTCTAAGTACTCTCTTATTTTATGTGCATCTGCAGATAGTGGAATTCAAGGCACGCACGTACACAACTACTGCCATACTGACTAGTTGAAGTAGAAGTTAAGATTTCTGTTTTGAATGTATTTATTTAATTTATGCACCATCCAGTAAGTAACACACACACACACACACAAGCACCACAGATGTGGATAGAAGAGGAAAATCCATTGGTCGATTGAGATTTTGATTTGGAAAGAATATCGGGACATGACATAAATCAATACATGTTGTTTGGATGAATCAACTAGTATTGTTTGGTTATTTTTGTGACTATATGTAAAATTTGTGCATTTAAAAAGAAATAAATTAAAAAGCAAATTGCTATGGACTGGGCTACCATACAGTATCACAGCACCTTCATGTATTCATGTTAAATCTAGAGTAGTGGGTAACTCTGTCAGGTTCTCTGATGTACTTTCTCTTTGAAAGCAGAACTTCAACAGAGAATCATGTGATGTGTTGCCAACTTCACCTTCTCTCTTGTCAATGAAAAAAGAAAAGTGTGCCAGAACACAAATTAGCACAATTAAAAGTATAAAATCCCCTTGATATTGTGCTTGTGGGTGCAGTGTGTCGTTGTATTCTTGTTAGGTATTACTATTCATACATGATTGAATGTCTAGCTATGTATAACGTTTAATGGAAAGTAAACATTTTTGTTATATTTCTCAATTTGCAACCCCCTGTGTATTCCCTTCCATGCTAACTTGCTTTCCCCTAAATTCACTTTTGCATTAATTCAGGAGAGAGAGTAATGTGATTTCTTAATTTAAATGTGAGTAATGTGATTTCTTAATTTAAATGTGCAGTGTTCTTGAGACCTTTGGTGTGACTGGTAGGCTGCTGAATTATTTATTTCGTAACTGAGAAAGGTTTTGCCTTTTTTCATGCACAATTAGTAAGTATAGTATGCTTAAGTTAAATTATGCATATTAAAGAAATGTTGCTGAACAAACATCCTTCATAAATATGCCACATACTTTCATGGCTGATTGAGGAAGAAATTCAGAGTCTCACCCCCCCCCGGAGCTAAAGACTGCATCTAAGCAGACTGAACGTGAGAATGATGAACGATGAGCAGAGCTTTGTGCTTGATGACATGAAAGTCCTCATTTCATTCTGCACCACCATGTTCACATACTGTATGTCTTCTATGCTTCAAACAGCATTGTAATGCAAACACTTTAATGTCCACCGTATGGCGAGAGGAATGATGTACTGTAGATAACATACCATGCAATATTTATTGTGAGCATTGTAGAAAGCTTCACCTGAAATTTGTCTGAAGATGAATTAAGTTTTGCTTATTTAGTGGCATTTGTGGTATAGTTAGGTAATAGAGAAACATTATGTCTTGTTGGTGGCTCAATACCTCTAATTTTTAGACTTTGCAAATGTGACATAACAATGATAAGATCTTGTAATATAACAGCTTTGTTTCAAAAAGTGTATTGGAACGGTTGTTTTGCATCTGTTCTGTGGAGCCTCAACAATCCCTGTTTTATGAAACTCGATTTAAGGTGTTGACACAATAATACAAGATGTTCAACTGGTGTTGCGGTGTCAAATGTGCCGATTGTGGCCGAAAAGGATCTACGCTCACATAAAGTCAGTTACTATATTATGAAATAATTATCAGTTCCTGCCAGCCTAAGGATTTTATTTACATTTTTTAAACTAAAATGTGTGGTTTTTTTTTGCTATCAGCTTTTTAAAGCTGTATAAAATGCTGAATGCTAATGCTAGCATGGCGCTCACAAAGACAATGTTAATATACTTTTGTTTAACAGGCATAATGTTTACCATGTTCATCATCCCACTCTAGCTCGTTAGCATTAAAAACATTTGCTGTCATTGCTGATGTCATTCATTTAGCAGGTCATGAACTAAAGTATAGGACAAATTAAAACTTTAAAATCATGATGGCATGAGAGGAACACCAAAGTTATTAAAATGTGTCTTCTGAGTAGCATAGATATTCTGTCAAATCTCAAGCCAATATATATAATAGTGCTGGGCAAGTTAACGCGTTAATTTCGCGTTAACGCATTCATTAATTAACGCCGACAATTATTTTATCGCGCGTTAACGCATTTTTTTAATTTATTATATATATATATTTTTTTTTTTTTTTTATTGAAAGACAAGAGACAATACATATACGTGTGTGTGTATGTCCTTGAGCCTTTTGAGATGGGAAAAAATAATAATAATAATAATTAAAAAACAACAAAAAAAACAGGTAAGTATTTTTAATTTATTATTATTGTAGCAGACTGTCTCATGTTTATCGTTTTGTATTGGAGATATGATGTCCCTTCAGGGTTGCCGTAGAGAAAAGGCGACTTCCGCTTCTGGTCGAGGGGGGGGCAGAAATAAAGAGAGAAGCTGCACCAGCTGTTGCTCTCCCTGGAGACTACTGGACATCGCTGCGGTAAAGTCAGCAGACACTCAGATCTCCGTGGTCAACTCAGCAGACACTTCCATTTTAGTGCACCTATATGCTGAAATTCACGGTAAACACATTTAAACGGCACAGATCGGGAGCAAGCAAAGGACTTTGAAAGTTAGCGGAAAGATTAACGTGAGACAACATCCGGTTTCTTCAGACGAACATCCGGTTTTCAGAATAAGATGCCAACAAAGTATGAATTATATTCACATTAAGTATAAAACATGCTACCTGGATCTCGTGAACCAAATGTTATTGCCCTTTTGTTCATATAGCAGTACTTTTAAAATAAAAGTGCGCAATACACTACTTTTGAATTCATTATTGAACTTTGCCATAACAATGCGATTAATTGCGATTAATCGCAAAAAATCCATGCGATTAATCGTGATTAAATATTTTAATCGTTGCCCATCACTAATATATATATATAGAATGGCACCTTGCCATTTGAAACAAAGCTATATATATACAGTATATATATATATATATATATATATATATATATATATATATAATAGTTGTTCCGGAATTTCCCTAAAATCGAAAAAATGTTGGTGGTGGTGGTAGTGATGAGGTCAGTGTCACCAAAGTCATTAGGATTCATCCTCTGGGTACCATGAATGTACGTAATTGGTTACGGTCAGACTTGCTCCAAATATACTAACCTAATAGACCTGTAGATGTACCGTTACTGGTGCCACACAGGCAAAGAAGGTAATAGCTGCTACAATTTATACAGTTAATGAGTGTTACTCTTCTTGTTTCAAATTGAGAGGAAAGAAAAATCTGCCTCAACCCTTTTAGAGTACAGCCTGAAAGACATTGGGACTTTGGTGTACATACTTTTAAAAGTTCTGTGGGTCTGAAAAAGGCTTTGAGATTAGAAATAATTCTTCCACATTTATGCCTCAAGTGCATTACTTTTGTAACAAGTGCACATAATAGTGTGTCATTTGCACACAGCTTGTTAATACCTTGTTATCAGGAAATACATTTACACATTTTCTCCATCACAGGATTCTAGATTCTCCCCCAGCTCTGTGCTTTTGTTTTTATTTAACAGGAGAAGTTCGTCTCAGCTGTCATATTAGCATCACACCAGCACACATAAGCTATATTTACTACTGCCATAAAGCAATGGGCTAGTGAAATGATAGGGACGGACATAACCCCTGCTGCATATACATGTGGTTAGCACAAAGCTCACATTGGATAAGATCCATGACGAACCACCTGCCTCTCCCCTCTTCATCTTCCTCCTCTATAGGTGTCCTGTACTGTCCCTGACTATACAAGTAACCCCTTCAAGGTCTCACCAATGAAAAAACTCTCCCCGTCAGTGATCTGCACTGCTGCCCTCTTTTCAGATCAATTCAGCTCATTAATGTATAGCAATTAATCAATAATCACCCACTTAGCTCGTTCAAGGTGGAATCTGACTTGAAAAGGGATATCGAGCTGCTTGCTCCTGTGAATCACCTTTAGTACCTTTCTCTAAGTTAGATCAAATGAGCAACCGTGTGCGTGGAAATGATATGCAGACATTTAAATTAGAGATGCAACGACTGCAATTTTCTTTGTCGATTCTGATTTCCACGCCACGCTGGATAAGCGGTTTGGAGAATGGAAGATGCTTAGAGCCAGGTCATAATTCTCTCTCTAATATCTATTTTGTATTGCTGCGAAAAAATCTCTGCTTTCAAGTTTCTCGCCAAAAACTAAATTTTCCAAGATTACATTTGAACACGTCATAGAATCATTATTTACCTTCGCACAACGGGCATTTTTACTGAGTAGAGCTTGAACGCATCATAATGCAAGTCAATGCAACCTCTGTTAGCTGTCCAAATGTTTTTTAATGTTCTTCCTTCACGGCTTATTTTGGACTTTGGTGTTTTGTGACAAATTGCGAGCTTTATCTCTTTTCACTCACGCTGAAGAAAAAGAGCGGGAATATGA